CCTTCGACAATACAAAGCACTATACTGTTTTTATTTTCTAAGAATGCTTCAGGGCCTATGTAGGGTCAAGAGCAATTCTGGAAATAAAGGTTGTTTGAAGTTGGCACTTTCCTTTGCAGCATGCTAGCTTCCCATTCATTATACTATGCCTTTTAATTAAAAAATACTGAAAGAACTATTATATTCAGGTGGAGAAGAGCCTCGTGAACAGGTGCCAAAAGAGGTACCTGTGGCCAACTTTGGTCACTTAGAATAAAATAACCTATAGCCCCATTCTGACCCCCCCAACAATTTGATTAAATAATTGATCCAATAATCTTCTAAAGACAATGGATAACAGTGCCAGATTCCCTCTGCTGCCCACTGTCACTCAGACAACAGGACTTTATAGGTTAAAAACAGCACTGAACCGTGCATAGAATTAAAAAGAACAGAGCAGGACAGCAACAAGCTTCACTAGCCTATCTGATCTGGACTAAGGAGTTGGGAGCATAAGTAAGAATTTATTAGGGAATGTAGTAAAAGTCTCTGTATGCACAAATAACAAAACAATGCAGAAAGAAAGACAAAGCTGGTGGCAGCATATAGACAACTTTGTTTTAATTCGAGTATATATACTTCCAAACTGGATACACTAGAAATTGGCAATGCAACGTAAGATGCAGAGAAATATACTAATTACTGTCAAAATGACCCTGTACAGCCTTATAATGCAAAAGAAAAAAAAAAAGCTTTATACATTACAAATTTCCATTAATGTACACAAATCTTGACAGTGTGATATTTGAATATGATACAGCAAGTTAAAAGGAAAAGAGGAAGCAAGAAAGGTGCTGAGAATATAACCAAACTGAAAAACAAGAAGCCAGCCTATTTTAAAGAGTGCATAGTGGGGAAAAACAGGGACAAAGTGAACAGTTGGTACAAACATTAAGTTTTTTAACAAGCAAAAGATATATTAGAGAGCATTCCTAGTTTTAGCGTCAAACAGCAAACCAATTCTTGGGTATGCAAGGGCTTTGATAAATACTGTATATTTTTCCTTAAAAAAATAAAAACACCTCAAATTCTTTTTTTCCTCTTAAACAGAAACAATGCATAATTAACTTTCCAGAAATAATTCAGTGGTCAAAGTGCTAAATAAAGCTGCCCAATTACATTAAGCATTACTATGACAAACAAATACAAAAGGAAAATGGTTAAACCCAAGGCATTAAATTGCTCATAGCATCATAATACTCTCATTCCTTGAAATCCCTATGTATATTGCACTATTTGGTTTACAGAAAATATATGTTTTTAACATTCCTATGCATGCGTAGCTTACTTGCTGACACACTACTTTTTAAATTTTTTATAGGGTCACTGATTGATTGTTTGGAAGTTATCTTAAAACACCTTAAATATATTTAGTTAACTGCAGCAACCATTTGCAGGAAGAAATCTCCATAATTCCTTTTGCCACAGAATTGTTACCATTCTAAATTATTATGCTCCCTCATAGGTGTGGCATTAGCCTTTTTTCTTCTAATGTCACCAGCAGAGATTTATGAAACTTATTCCTTTAATGGCAACTGTAGCTGAGTAATTGGTTCAAGATTACTCCCAAAACAAGTTTCCCAAACCTGCACAGTTCAGGTTGCTTCAGTCTGGTGCCCTCCATACGAGCTAATGCATAACTTTAATCATGGCCAAGGTATGCTGCCTGGGGTTGAGAAGAGCTGTAATCCAACATGCATGGAAGATATTTGGTTGGGGAAGGCTGGATTAGATAATTGAGATCAAACTCTTGCTGCGTTTGGCAATGCTTGCTGCAGCAACATTCTGGGTAAGGGAAATTGGCCAAATCACTCATTTGTTGCAGAATCCCACCTGTCCTATTAGAACACCATACTGTTGCCCAGCTGGATCTCCCGTAGGACAGTGCCCTGGGCAGCTTTCACATCCCAGACTCTTCTTTTGTTGCCAGGCTTCAAGACTCGCGAGGTGGTTATGGCGCACAGGAGCCCTATTCCCCAAGATGTGCTTCACTGGGACAAAGAGGAGGGGGCAATTACGTGACACTTAACTGGCCAACAGGGCTTATGGGCTGAGATAGCAGCCAACCATGGGGGATTAGCCATAAACAATATGCAAAGGGCTAAATTTAATCCTTCTGGTTAGCCATGGTATGGCTACCCATGGGGTTAACACGCCTCTCTCCTAGGATTGAGATGAAATGCTAGAGAGAGGTCTGTGAAAAGTTTCCCTCCCCCCCTAGATATTCCATCTATATGGCTATTTTGGTTTTTACTCTCTTGTGACTGCGTGACAGAAAAAAACAACAACAAACAGAAACAAGTAGGAAATGGGTAAGAACTCCCTTCTCTGACTTTTTAAATTTATTTTTCATTCTGATGTAGGGTGGAAAAAAGGAAAGGAGGCAGAAAATGATAGCCTTCCCACCTCCTCAACAGCAGCAGAATCTTAAAAAATGGCTCCCAGCCCATGGACTGATCCATCCTTTACCGAGTGCTTCTTGCACACGATGGTGAGTGTAACTTGGCACATGGATGATGAGGCTGATCATGTCATGGGAACAGAGTCAGAAACTCAGCCTTCCCCTATCTTATGCATTGGGCTTACGTCACCAAGATGCCCCAGCCAGCATGATGAAGGGCTGGGGAAGGCTCCAGTAAGCGATGCTGACTATTGCATAGCATTGCAATGCCACCTCGGGTTGGAGTGGAATGCCACCGGAATGTCACAATTCATCACACTATGCCAACCTTATCTTAATCATCCTTTTGTTAAAAGAACAGCTCACGTTTCTGAAAGTATTTTCATCAGAATTTAGTGCAATAAACAGAGCCTCAAAATTTCTCTTAGGATATTTAAAACAATGATTTATGTTACTATAATAGTTAGCCAGATAAGGCCATATGTTGGTTAAACTTCTTTGTGGACTTTCATTATTTCATTAGGCTTATGTTACTTCAATGTTATAAATGGCTGATAATTTAGGCTGTTTCCTTCCTTGTTTTCTGTTGTAAGGTCTTTGAATCCCCCCTCCCCCATATTTCTTTAGCGGGGAAAACTTATGTGATAGTGATTCATAATAAATGTTCAGTGCATGGGCATTTTGTTTAATCTTAGGAAAAGTTAATATTTAGATCACCCATTAGGAATGCAACATTTGCTTCTACTGCAATAAAGTGCAATACGTATGTCATTTTAATGACTAAAAATAAGAGCCTTAAGAAAATATAAAGTTACCTTCCTAGAAGAGTATACTTGAGTAAGCATTAGCAAAATGATATAAAGGAATACAAATAACATGAAGGGTATAGAACACAAAAGTTGCCAATATAGCTGAATAGTTGGGCTTATAAAAGAGAATTCTATAATTAAACAGCACCTTTTTCTCCTTCCATTTAAAAGAACTTGCACTTATTTTTCAAATATACAATCTGATATTCTTCAGTCAAAAAGAAACATTATCTTCAACATGTTTCTTACTTTTATTTATTTTTGCTAGTGAGAAACATACTAGTGCAAGACTCAACCACTGTGCAAAACCTGCCTTTATTTAGTCTGAGCCCTAACGCCCAGAATTTAAGAAATCCTTCCTTTTTAAAATTCCTTCTTCTGGGTTTAATCACGGTTAAATGTGTCCCCTTCCTTTGCAAATTAAACTAACCACTGCATTCAGACCAACTGAGAATGCGTAGAAGTGATTTTGTGGTCTCAGGGCTGTTTGCTATATTTTTCTGTATTGGCCTTGCATCAAATTGGAATAGTGCACATAACTTTGAATCAGGTATTTTTCTTAGCTGACTAGAAAAAGCACATTGGCAAAATGATCAGGTTTCTGTCTCCAGTTATCTGACCAAGAAAAGCAGCAAGTTAAATGTAATGTGGATGTCCAATCTAAAACAAATGCCTTATCATACGTACCTTGCTCTTGGGTATTTGTATCAAAAAGTACTTTAAGAAGGGACCCCAAGTCATATGAATACAACCAAAAAATCAGTTTGGGTGCATGTATGAAACGCACTTGCTGTCTATAAATCTAGCTGCCTTCTTATACATCACTGTTATGTGTTCAGGACTGCTTTAGACATTATCTTTTTTCCTTCATAGAGATAATACATGCTGACTGTAATATTTCAAGGGTGACAGGAGTGCTTTCTGCTGGGGAGGGCGGGTGGGGGGCAGAACATGAATAAATCCATGGAGCAGCAGTTATGAAAACTTGACTACCCAGTCTCTGTACACAGAGAAAAGCCCTTCATATTACATGTGTACATGCACTGGCCATAAAAAGTATCTCCATGTAGGAAAAAAGTTTAACATATGAAACAGTGTCACCTTGCAAGGCTAAAGTAATTTTCTCCCCTCTGCTTTTACCCTGATCATCAAATTCTGAGATGTGAGGCTAACCTAGCCACTATAATATAGCAAATTCCCAGCAGGACTGACTGCCATGCTAGTTCTTTTTGATTGCTGTTCCTACATTCCATAACTGAGCAATAAAAGAGAAGCAGGCAAGGTGAGCAAGCACGGAGGACTGCAATATGTTTCACAGGGGTGGGGCCACAGCTCAGTGGTAGAGCACATGCTTTGCACGTATAAAGATCCCAGATTCAGTCACCAGCATCTCTAGTTAAGAAATCTCAGGAAGCAGCTGCTAGGAATGACTTCTGTCCAAGACCCTGGAGAACTGGTGCCAATCATAATAGACAATACTGGGCTTGATGGACCACTAGTCTGATGCAGCATAAGGCAGCTTCTTAAGTTCATATTAAATAAGCCAGTACAAAAGGATGTGCAAAAGCAATGCCATGGCACACAGACTATCTTTTAGAAATGCTCAGATACACAACCCAAAGTCAAATGCATCAAAGGGTCATCTTAGCTAGTGCTGACTGCCATTAAGGACACTCTTGTTCAGCTTAAATGAGACAAAAGAGTTTCTCAGGTAAGAGTACGGAAACAGGCCTCTGAAAGTAGAAATATGCAGGAGGTCATCTCTCTGAAAGTTTAACAAAGCAGCCTTCATGGCCATGTATTAAGGAGACCCGTGGAGCCATTTGCTTTACTGTATCTTACTACTATTGATATATTGTACAAATGTTTGGGCAGCCAACCTCTTGGATCTATGGTTTGAAATAAAACCTGCTTGGAATCTGGTGGGGGTATCAGGGGTGGGGTGGGTGGGGTGGGTAATATTTTTGGTACAGAATGTGGCTGCCCTAGAGAGTTTCTGCCCTTTCTGTTAGTCCAAGATAGGCAAGGAAGGAGTGCTTCGGCGAAGTGTCATCCAAGTGTAGGGTCTGTGGTCGGGGTGAATGGAATGTGATTTCAAAGTGGTTTTTAGGGAAAAACATGGTCAAGGGAATGAGGTGGGCAAACTCAGAGTTCCGATATTTGTCAAAGCACAGGGAAGTGCCATTTACGGTCAAGGCCCTCAGTGCCAGGTTTGGCTCTGCCCCGCCACTGTGAACAGCTGACATGGCCACCGTCTGCAGAGCATGGGAGGCTGACATCACTGAGAGAGGGGACAATAGGCTGCGGGGACTGTTGGCCACGAGCAGGGGGCTGGCTTCCTTGGAAGTCACACCCTGGCCCTTTTTCTCCTCTTCAGAGCAGTCTCCATTTTGGTGTTTCTTCACATGTCGGCTGAAGACAAATGGGTGGGTGGTCTTGAAGAGGCACTCTTCGCAGCTGAAGGTCTGCCGGGGCGCATGCTTGAGTTTCTTGTGCAGGTTGAGATTGTCTTTGCGTTTGCAGCTGTAGCTGCACTGATCACAGTGAAAAGGGCGCTCCCCCGTATGCACACGCACATGCTCTATCAGCTTATTGGCAGTCTTTGAAAGATAGCCACACTGATCGCACTTGTAGTGGTTGCCAAGGCGATGCTCTCGAACGTGCATTTCCAGCTCAAGCTGATTGGCTTTCACTGCTTGGCAGATCCGGCACTTGTACTCCATTTTGTAGTGGGTTTTCAAATGGCATTCCATTGCTGCTGGACGGTTTGTGGAATAAATGCAGAAGGGGCACCTGTCAAAATGCAAAATAGGGATTGAGACATGGATCTAGATCAGCTAGGAGCAACCTATACCCCACATGTAGTTCCCAGAACCCTTTTGTGTCCCCCAGAGTGGGAAGGACTGATTTCTATAGCATGGTTTTAGACTCCTTGGGGAGGGCAAATTTGGTGCCTAAAGTTTTGCAGAAACCTAAATGACTCATTTCACCATTTAACTCTTCTCTCCATACAATCAGGCTGGTTTTTCCACTTTGGGCGGCAGTTGGGGCAAAAAGCAAGCTGTAAAACCCTGAAAGGTTCAAAGTATCTTAATTCTCCAAACTACTGAACCAGGACAAAATTGATGATTATGTACTTCACTGACCTCCCAAAAATCCCTCAAAGGGATATGGTTAATGACATCATAATGACATGACCATCTCAGTTGAGTTGGTCATATCATCATGATGTCACTGACCACATCCGTTGGAGGCTTCCTTTTTTGGGGGGGTGGGGGGGGGGTAAAGTGCAAGTCCTGACCATAACGTAACCCTGCAAAATGTCCAACATTTTTCAAACTAATCTCATTTACTCTTTTTCAGCGTATACTACACATAAAATGGGAAGATTTATCTGAACACACATTTTAAGCTACTGTATTGATACAAGCACAGCATGAACTATGAATGAAGCCTTTACTTCAGCTTTATTTAAATCACTAGTATTTTGTTGCCTAAAGAGTCAAAATAGTGCCACCCCAATAAGCAGAATACATAGTGCTACTCAAGGCTACTCCACAGCCACCTCTACCTCCCAACTTGCTTTTCAAATCTTTACCTTGACAGATGCTACCTCTCTCCTTCTACTTTAAAAAACAAACAAACAAACAAACAAAC